TAAGACATGTTCAGAAGATGGAGATCTCTGGCTTTTCTTTGGTCTCTTTTCCTCTCTTCTGTCTTTTTGGAGTTTTCGATGGATGTCGTTTTTTTTTCTTTCTTTCTTTTTCCTTTTTTCGTGGACTGCCCTTCACCAATTGGTTCTTTCTGCAGCTTCCGTCTCCCGATTGACCGGATCGATTTCTGTCCTCAGCAAGGGTCTTTTTGAGCTGATCCTTGAATCGACGACGTAGGGCTTCACTTGGTCTCTTGCCAGATTTGTTTGGCTAGGCGGATGTCTCGCATTCGGACAAAAAAATTGTCCGGCCTATCGAAGTCAGCGGCGAGTCATGATGGTTTATAGACTCTCCATCATTGTGCGTAGGATAACTTCGTTGTCTGTGATCCCGTGCTGCCACAACACACACACACACACACACACACACACACACACATATATATATATATATATATATATATATAGTGCGATGAATAAATTGTCGTCTAAATTACGCAAAAATGAAAATAACACTGACATTTCATTTTAACAGTTATATTTTTCAAAATGTCACAAAAATATCATTTATTATTATTCAATAAAATTGCCATTGGCTTCAACCACGGCCTCCAGATGACTTCGGAATCTCCTGTAACTCTTCTGGGCGGTCTCCTTGTGTAAATTGCTAAATACTGCCATAATCCTTGACTTCAGATCATCTTTGGTGTTACAAGGAGTTTTATTGTTCTCTCACTCAACTCCGCCTCACACATAATAACCAAGGGGTGTGGTTGCAGTCTGGGGAGTCAAATGGCCAGATGTAAGGGGTGATGTGATCGCCGAAATTGCCTGACAGTCATGTCTTTTTCCCTGCTTGTGTGGCATGGCGCAGAGTCCTGTTGCCTGGCATAGGGTCTTCCAGTAACCACCTTCTTGACCCAGGGCAGCACTATCTCCTCAAGGTACTTGATGTAGACCCCCGTGTTGAGTCTGAGGCCTTCTCCAACAAATTCGGGAATTCTTTTCTTATCAGAATGATCAGAGTGACTTTTCCGATATGCCGTACCTTCGTAATCACCATTAGACTCATCCAACTCTTTACGAATCGTCTGCACTGTCCTCAGATTGACACCCAAGTACTCTGAAATGTTCGTGTTCGAGCTTCCCGCGCAAATTCCAAGTAGAACAACATGCTGTTTCCAAATGTCTGGCCGAGTGAATTGCGTCATGGTGCTCTTCTTCTCACAGACGGTGC